GTGAAGAAAGTGAAACAAGCGGTGAATATAATCGACTCGAAGAGAGCGCATAACGTGGGAATACTGGTTAAGTCACTGCATCTCAATATGGATGACATCGAGAACGCGGTCTACAATTTCGACAACTCTGTCGTCGACTCCGAAACGTTGGAACAGATATTCGAAGTGATGGCCACCAAAGAAGAGCTCGAACTCATCCAAAAGCACGTGACCAACAATCCGGACATACCGTTGGCCAAAGCCGAAGAGTTTCTGTACAACTTGTCTCAGATCCACGAGTTCGCCGACAGAGTCCAGTCGATTGTCTACGAACTCAAATTCAGCGACCATTTGATCACAATTGAGAGCCGATTGAATAACTTCAAAATCCTGTGCCAATCGCTGACCACAATGGCCACCATTAAAGACCTGTTCGTCATTATCCTAACGTTAGGCAATTACATGAACGGCGGGAACCGCGACAGAGGACAGGCCGATGGCTTTGGGCTCGAGATTCTGCCCAAATTGCGTGACGTTAAGGGAAAACAAAACAATGTGTCGCTTCTGGAGTATGTCGTCCGCACTTATATCAAGAACTACTGCTCGCAAGTGCTGTCCGTCGATGAGATACGGTTCCCATTGCCGGAGCCGTCCGACTTGGAGAGGGCGTCAGCCATTGTTTTTGACGACATTGTGGCCGATATCACAGCTCTGGAGACAGAAATGCATTCCTGCGAACGGAAAGTCGATAAAGTGTTGAAATGCGCGCAAAACCCGCAACACGTCGAGCCCTTTGAGTCCCGAATGAAGGCATTCATCGAAAAGGCGAAGAATCAGATCCGGGAACAGACGGAGAATGTCGAGGAATGCAAACAAAGGTTTGTTTGTGTTTTTTCCTACATTTTTTGTTATGATATTAAAGTTATTGTGTTTTTGAGGCACAATTTTGTGCTAAATCCTGGCATTAATAATGAATTTATGTTTATTTTAATTATCAAACGATTTGTATTTAAATGAAATAGATTTCCGGAAACAATGGATTATTTTATATACAAACCAAAGTCGAACAAAGAGTCCGATTGGCCCAAAGAGTTCTTTCATCATTGGATACCATTTTGTCGCGATTTTAAGGATATATTCAAACGAGAGATTCAGAAGACCATCAAAAAGAAGTATGAAATCTATTTGTGTTGTATTTTAAGGCATATTCTAATGAATTGATTGCGTGTCTTATGTCAAGTGTGGAGATATCGAAACAGAAGGTCAAAGAGTTGAAAGAAAAGCAACAATTGGAGCAACAGTTGGCTAAGAAGAAGATCACTTCCGGCGGTCTT